AGGAATTTGTCATGGTTTAAGAGAGGTAAAAGTTGAATTTGAAATATAAATTTTAAAGCTTTATTTTTTGGGGTGGATAGTTTTAAACGCACGTAAATTATGAGCTCTTAAGGCGTGGTTATTTTTGTGAAAGTAACAATTAATGAGTTGATGTCTAATGACCATACTGGTTGGTTTGTTAGATTTATGCTTATCTTGAAAAAATTCTGCATCACTATGGATTGTTCATAGATTTTGGCATTTAAAGCGCTGTATAGCTGTTCTTCTAGATTTGAATTTTTCAGTTTGAGCTACAAAATGTAAAAAGTGATTAATTTTTAGGAATTTGTCATGGTTTAAGAGAGGTAAAAGTTGAATTTGAAATATAAATTTTAAAGCTTTATTTTTTGGGGTGGATAGTTTTAAACGCACGTAAATTATGAGCTCTTAAGGCGTGGTTATTTTTGTGAAAGTAACAATTAATGAGTTGATGTCTAATGACCATACTGGTTGGTTTGTTAGATTTATGCTTATCTTGAAAAAATTCTGCATCACTATGGATTGTTCATAACTGTTCAACAGATTATAGCTTTTGATTAAATTGTGGAGGATTCTAAGATATTTAACATCATTCTTGAAAATAAATTCAGCATTACTTTCATTCTTTGCTTTTTCCTCTTAAGAGAGATAATCAGGATTAGCTTTCACCATCAGCTGCGTGGAGACATTATAAGAGCTATCATGTGTTGTTCAGATGCAGCATTGTCTAAATTTTCAACAGCTATGGGATTTTCCATAGGTACAATCAAGGAAATTTTAATGCATTTAGCAGTTTTCTTTGGGGAGACAGTTCCTTGTCGCAAGCCAAATGATTGTGTTTCAGGTCAGATTTCATTAGACTTATTAGGTGTATCATTGGAAGTTGGGTATGTAACAGGTGTTTAGACAAAAGCCTAGTATGTTTGTGAAATAAGCAACATTCTGGGTCATCTATACTGGCTTAATAAGTTTTGCACTTACTATAGATGCATATGCGAACTTCACTGCCAGTTTTAACCTGGTTTTTGAGGAAAGGATCCTGTCTTCTTCATTCTAGAGTAGTTGACATCTTTCATTTGCATTATCTTGAAAGTCTGATCTGATTCTGTTAAGCAGCTGGCTACAAATACCAACTGTGTCGAAATTTGTTATCACAAATAGAAAAGTCTATATCTGCTGAAAATATTTCAATCCATTGTCTCAGGTAAGAATTTAGTATCAAGAATTATCAGAGAAGCAGTGTCTCCCTTGGATGATTGCTCATGAAACAATTCGTCATGTGTTAGTGAGAGAAAGCATCTTCATTCATGAGGACTGAAGGCAAATTGGAAATATTTGCCAATAAAAAGCAAGACTGGACGAAAAGAGACATGATGAGGGGAAATAAGAAACAAGGAAGATTTAGGATGAGGAGGTTGGTAGTGAGTGGTTTAAAAGCAAAAGTGCAAGAAGGGCGAAAAAGAAGGGAGTCACCTTGATAAGTAAACCTTTTTCTTTACAAAATTTGATTTCAGTGCATTATTCAATAGATCAAAATTAAGTAATTTGTACTTTATTATGCATTGAATGATTTTGCATGATTTTCAACTGAAGTAATTCTAAAAATGTTTAAGTTACTCACAGATGTTTAGTAGGAGCAGCATTTTGACTTACAGGGTTTTTAACAAAAAGATTCTTGTCGCCACAAATATCATCTGTGCAAACAGTTAATGTTGGCATGTTTAATCATATTTTGTCAAACAATTTTTTATTATTTGAAAGAAAGAGACTTGTGTTAGAATACTGTGTTGTGAAATTTGTAAAAAAACATCGTGATTATTAAGTACAAAGTGTTTGAAATGGATGTATAACGCTGCCAGATTAGAACCAGGGCTATGGAGTTGGTAGGAAAAATGACCGTCTCCGACTCCTGGAATTTTAAAGAATCCGACTTTGACTCTCTCATAAACATGCAGGGCTCTGGAGTCAGTAGGGAAAATGACCCACTCTGACTCCAACTTCTGGAATTTCAAAGACTCCGACTCTGACTCCCTCATACATATGTAAACATATACACATGGGCTACAGCTTATTTTTTTAATATAAAAGATGATACAGGGAAAAAAATTGATGGCATAGTAAATTATTTATTCCAAATATTTCTCAAAACCTAATTCATCACGGGAAGAGGATGATAAATACTCATTTGCAATGTCTGCAGCTTGACTGTCCTAATTTGAATACTCCAATTGCTCTGAGAATAATTTCATTCTTAATGAAAGTTCATAGATGGTTTTCTTTGCCTTTTTAAATTTGTTTGTCATACAACAAAATTCGGTGTTTTCAATCTACATATATTGAACCCAGCAAGATCTCATTGCCTAGCAAACTAGTTTATCTTTTCTTCATTAAGAAATTAGTCCTTCTGTAATATTTTCCATTTCAGAAAGAACAAACATCACATTCTTCTATTCTGGCGTGTTAATTCTTCAGATTGTAGCTTTTTTATGGCTGTATACAATGTAGAAGAAGGGTTTCCAATCCTGGGGCAAGGTCATTCCACAGTCTTTCTGTTAATGAAACATTAATGTTATTTACATCTCCTAAAAAAGTTCTTAATTCTAACAACCTCTATATCATCAAGTATGTACTTCCCTATCTTTTTGCTTGATCAAAAATTTCTCATTTTCCTGCTCACTTCCTAAGAATGGCGTCAATTGTGGTAGTTCTTGTTGCTATTGTTTACCTTAACTTGTAAATAAGATTTGTTACTAAATGAAGTAACAAATGAATCAGTTTAATCAATAATGACAAATATCACATCTATCTTTCTCCCTTATATTTATTTATGTCAATAAAATAGAAAATAACTATTTATATATGGTTCATAAATAAAAATAATTTTTCGGTTTGTCATTAATTTTTTTTTTTCAATTCACTTTAATTTCATTTCAAATTCAAACTGTCCAACTAAAACTGGAGTTGGAGTTGGCCTGTTTTTAGCGAGTCCAACTCTGTCTCTTTTTGCCCCAAAATCCACCTAACTTCGTTTCCGACTCCATGATTCTAACTCAACACCCTCATTAGAAACGCCATTTGTTTCCAGTTCTGTTGTAAAAAGTTAGCTACAGAATGTCACCAAATCGTGTACAGTTTTAGGTACTAATGTTGTGTCATATTACACTGTGAAGGTTTGGTATCGAAAGTTCAAAAACAAGGTCTATGACATTCAAGAAGCAGAGTTCTCTGGCTGGCCTACTGATGTTGATGAGGCCCACCTGAGAGAACTTGTGGAAGAAGATCAGTATGCAACCACTCGAGAGCTTGCTAAGGAGTTAGACATTAGTGCAATGTCTATTAGTTATGCTATGCATTGCATAAACTTGACGTAATAATTGAATCGCTAAGTGAAACATGAACTGAAGCAGATAATGACAGACGTGTTCAGGCCTGTACTAATCTGCTTCAATATCAATGCATGGACAAAATTCTGTACCGAATTATCACTTGTAATGAAAAGTGGATTTACTTCAACAACACAGACTGAAAAGGGGGTTGGTCTGCACCCGGTGAGCCTGTCAGTAGCATTACAAAGTGCAATTTGACTAACAAAAAATTTCATGCTTTTGATCTGGTGGTATTGTCGTGGTATTATTCGGGAAAGCATATTCGGGAAAGGTAAAACCTTCAACAGTAAGAAATGTACAGCGAGATGCTAGTCTGCATTGACACTGCTATCAAGGGAAAGCGTTGAACTGAGCTCTTTTGCAAAAAGGTAATGTTTCATCTAGATAATGCAAGACCACATGTGTCTGCATTCACTGGCTGGACTCTGTCTGGACTGAAATGGGCTCCTGCCATACCCACAAACATTACAGCCCTGACATTGCTCCTTCGGACTTCCTTTTTCCACACCTGCAGCTACATCTTGCTGGTGCTATCTTCCATTCTGCACAGGACGTCTGAAATATGGTTGATCTGTTTTTGGACATGTGGCTATTAAATTTCTCCGCTGAAGGCTTTGAAAAACTGCCAAAATGCTGGCAGAAAATCATAGATTGGGGTGGTGATTACTACTCGCACTAAAGATATTGCTTTCATGTTTTTTTTCCTAGCTTTATTAAGAACATTTTCTCTTGGAAAACTTTCATTACAATCAGATATCATAATGTAAACAAGCTTCTTGAGATGGAAAATAATCACACCAGTAATCTTTTTAGTATTTATTTTAAAGTTTAAATAAAGATTTCTTGGTGAAATCAAAAGTGAAACATCAGCATAGTTACTGAAAGGAAAGACACAGCGCTCCCATCGCGTGAAGCAACTTACTCCTTCGACATTTCTCAGACAAAAGCACTTTTTTTACCTTTTTCGTTTTGCATCCCAAGGAAACTGCACAAGGGGGTTATCCTTAACGAGTTTTTTCTTTGATTATGTTTTGGCTATTTTGGCAGACCCCGTGGTTTTTTCTAAAGAGAACACAGAAAGATCTCTAATATTATCCACATGTTGCAATATATTTTTTGCTTAGTGGATGATACAGAATGAATTTTTATTTTCAGTGAAAAATACAAACACATCATCTATCTACTCATATTTTTCACTTATTGTGGAAAATATTTTAAGTCAAAAACAGGTTCTAACTTCTTTCTAATTCAAGAGGTATTCCTGATTTTGCTAGCTGTAAACAAAAAATCACTAGTTTATGTTAATATTTAAAATTTTATATAGCATCCATCTATGTTCGTTTTTAATTTATGAAAATTTTTGACATTACCATTTCAGCTCTTTTTTTCCTATTTAATATGAATTTTGATTTGTAATTTAATATGAATTTATTGATTTACATGACTCCAATATCAGTAAAAATTTTTTGTTATATTTTTTACATTATCCTTGCAAATATCTTTTAATTTTTTAAAAATATCATAAAATTTACACATTACATCTTTTGTATTAATAACTTCAGGACATATTTGAATATATATGTTTTAAAATTTCAGCTTTGAACCTGTTAAAGGAGGAAGATCCAGCAAAAGAAAGAAGATCCAGCAAAAGATCTTCTTCTGTAAAGTAAATTTTACTTTATATATTTTTTATATATAGATGAAAGTATTAAAATATGATATAATTACACTCTTGGTTTGAACATTTTTCTACTCAACATGGGATTTGGTAAATTGCTTTATTGTGAGCAATTGTTATTTTTTCCCAAAGCTTATATTTTATTAATAAATGTCTGTGTTTTTAAGTGTTTAAGTGATTAGGTTCCACATCAGACAGAAGCACAAATTTTGATTCCTATACCCATCATACCATTTTGATAAACTTTCACAAACACATCAGACAGACATCGAATACTAGCATCTGTTCTATATCCTGGAGATCCACCACAGTATTTATCAAGATTATCTGTCTGAAACATATAAATCAATATTTGTTTTGTATGGATATATTATTTGGATGACTTCATGTTCACCTTTCTAAGTTCAATTAAGAATATTCACAAATGAATTACCCATTTATTCCAGTAATTTTCCCAGTTTGGAGAGATCTCCATCTTTTTTACAGTAATTTGCAAAATTTTCAAATATTTAAATATATAGCATGTTATTGTATATTTAATATATTTCAGTCATGAATAACATTTCTTTTATTTATACATTCTGCTGCTGATTTTGCTAATGATTCAGGTTTCAGTATTTCATGTTCAGCAACAGAACAATGACTTAATCTATCCAAAAGCAATCAGCTGTTCCTACTTCAACTGAGGTTACTGTAGAAAAAATACTATAGCTATATCAATTTTTACAGGGTACAGATGAGTGTGTGCAGAAGGTGTTCCTTCCAAATTGATAATCAAAGTGCCATTAAATTGATAAAAAGTTAAGTGTTCCATAAATGCACAGAACATATAGATATATGTTACCATTTTATTCATGAAAAATATAAGAATAAAAATGTAATTGTCAAATATATTAATTTCAGTGAGCAGTACGCTGATATTTCTATATAAAAGCTCTTCCCAAAGCAAAATTTCAAAAACTCAAATTGCTCAGTGTAACAGAGACTCAAAATAAACACACCTTTGTAACTGATTATGAATATTGGGATGCTTATTACTCTTATATATATATATTTGTTTTCTGTGTATTACAGTACAAAGTCTGTAATCCGGACTCGTCGGGACTTCGGTGATTCTGGACTAGGGTTTTTTCCAAATTATAGATCATCAATTTAAATCTGGTAAGATGGCATGCAGAAATTACACAACTAAAAATATGAAACTGTAATTTATGAAATAAAGAGCAATTATGATCTAAAGAGAATCAAATTTTACAAAAAAAGCTTAATATTTATTTGTTTACTTTATTAAAACATTTCTTTCAATGTGCGCATGCGCATGCATTACGCATAGTCGAAATTAGAAAATTGCAACCAGAAAACTGTTTGATGTGTATTCGTGATATTTATAATGACGAGGAAATTGATTTAAATCATATCAAAGACGGAGTACATCGAGATGAAATACTACATTTAGTAAGGAATTATAAGCCAAATAAAATAAAAACATCTGCCCTGAAGATAAGGATAGTGCTGACATGATCAACTTCCAGTTCATTGTGTGCCGCGAGACGTTCACCCCCCTTCCGGCAGAGCAGCATTAAATTGATAAACAGATTTCAGAATGGTTAGAGAAACAAATCATCAAGCCAAGCTGTTCTGATTGCGCAAGTAATATCGTGATAAGTAGAAAAAATCTGGTTCATTTAGACTATGCCTGACTTAAACGATGCTTAAAACCTGGTGAATTCCTTTCCGAATATTTCATTGCCATGTGTGAAATAGCTGGTTGCGGTTCTGTTGATGATTCATCATTCTTGATTATGTAATCAATCAGATACTGGATCAGAGTAGTAACAAAATTATTTTGTATGGGTATAAAACTATTTCTCAATTCAAAGAGAAATTAAAAAAATATGAGAAAAATCGGTGTTCCAGATACGAAGAATAAGGGTTATTCAAGTACTAACACACAAAATAAAGCATGCGCTATACCTAATAAAAATAAAGAACCGAGGTGTTATAACTGTGGAAGTGGTGTTGTTTAATTTTCTGTATTGTATTGTATTGTATTGGATATTCTCAAACAAAAAACAAAATATAGTTTTGTTATTACTAATTCAACCTTATTTTTAATATTTTTTAAATGATTATTTATAAGTACCGGATATGGAACAAATATTTCATATTTAAATGGGATATGTAAGGTTCTCTTTGTTATGCTGTAAATAATTCTTAAAACAATATATGAGGTATAACCAGCATATTATATTAATCATGTATATGAGAGAAAACTCATCAGTTTTATGCATTGCTTGCTCTAATGTTAAAATTTAAACTATTGTTAAGATATTCTGTGTTAACAATGTGAAAAAAAATTAATGTAAACGGAATATTTAACTCGAAGACTATGACTAAAATAATATTTTCAGAAAGAAAGCTAAATTCGTAATTTATATATATATATCATTTTTTATGCTTTTAAATTATTAATGTTAAATTAGTGTTTATAGAAAAAAAATCATTATTTCTGTTATATATTTTTCAGATCCTGAAGCTGCCAAAAAATTTGGATATGGAATTTTGTAATGTATGCAGTACTTTTAAAAAAATTCTTTTTGACAATTTCTTTTCCTTTTTAAGAGGTAATTAAATATGTATGCTATCAAACGGCATGACTTAATTCCCTGCTTAGTGCTTTCTCTATTTCATGTTAACACATGGCTCATTGATTTTAAAAGTTGCTGAATGAAGTTGCTAGTCATCTTCTGTAGCTGTTTTAACATTTCTAGTACCTGGATTGGTCCTTTTCTCTCTTCTGTTTAACAACAAAATGTATCACATATTGATTGTTGCTAAACATTAACAAAAATCATATTTTCTAAAAAAACTTGGCGAGCAGTTCCTTGCACATGTGTATTTTAAATGAATCATTCCGAATACTTCTTTGATTGTTGTGTTATATGAATTTTGTCTATTTATCTGAATTTCATCTTTGATTCATCAGTTTTCTGGATTTCAGTCACTTTAGTAATCAAAAACCGCACCCATACAATAAATTTTATCAGCATTTCTTTGAGTGAGCAAAAAAAGAGTTCTGTAGTTACCAAATAGAATTGGCTTTATTATGGCAATTCTTGACAGTTGCATTCTCTATTAGATTTCTGATTTTGCTGATAGTATCAATGATACTTTGCACACTTTCTTGTCAGTTAAGTTGTTAATCTTTTCTTCTTTAATGTTGAAGAGTTTGATCTCATTATGAGATTTTTTCATAATCAAGTTTTCTAATGTCTTTTAAGCACTGAAATTTTAGAACACTGTAAAACTGAGACACACATTTGTGTTAGTAATGCAAGATCATTATCAAGATATGTGTTCTAAGTGTGATAGTATGAAAGTGTTAATGTTATATTAGAAATAACTTTTGAACTAGAATCTAATATAAAACTATGGTTTTCTGTATTTAAGAAGTATTTTTCTGGTGTAAAAGAAGAAAAAAAGTCTTAATGCTTAATGATAAAATAGCTTTCAGTCTGTAACAATCGGGCACATAACACTTTTTAGGGAAAATAAGCAAATTTAAATTTCATGTCTGCTTTGTTCAAAGGAAATCCTAATTAGCAATTTGTTAATTATTAAATATACTGATTGTGAAATAAAGTGATTTTGTAATATGCAAAATTGGATTAAGAAGTTATTAAGATTATAAGATTTAAACCACTTCAGAAGTCAACCCAAAACATTAATTTAGGGTTCATATAAATCTTCATTTTAATATTAATTTAGGGTTCATATAAATCTTCATTTATGCAAATTTTAAAATTTCTTCAAATGGAAATTTGAATTACACACTTTTAAGCTAATTCCAATACAAACAAGTATCTTTTATGTGTTTTGACTAAAAACTTATTGTACATAATTGCCTTTAAGAACAGTGATTTTTAGCTTAGGGTTTGAAAATATAAGATGTGTAGCAGCATTTTCAGCAGTATTGTACATGTTTCCCTAAAAAATTTAATTGATAATATCTCAGGTAATTTTAGAGTTACATAAGCATCCCCCCCCAACTCAGACATGAATAACATTTTTCTCATTGACTGTGTTTTTTCCTATGAACCTACTGCAAAAATTTCATGTTTTTACTAAGGTGGTGTCATGTAAATTGTTACAGTCTGAAAACCTTCTTTAAATTTATATTGTTTAGTGTACTTAAATTGGAATGCTCTTAATTGAAAACTGCTATGCAGATTCTTGAACTGGAAACTTCTATGTAATCTTTTTGAGAACTCTTATACAGCACTGATACTTTATTCATGCTTATATCTGATTATGTTAATGCATTCATATACTCATAGTTAAAATGCAATCAGATTTTGTGAATGGAATGCATTTAGATTAAAATCTGAAAAATGACAAGTGCTTTTAATGTAATTTATTTTTTCTTTTGTTATCTGATGCAGTAACTCGAATTATTTCGAAGTTGCAGCTTTTATGAGAGCATTTGGAACTTTACAAATGGAAATGTCTGAAGCTGAATGTTATCATGTCTTGTGCAAATGAAATTCTTTTTTTCAATATTCATTCTAAAAATAAAATATTAACTTTGTATTTAAATGTGTCTTTTAAAATATAGACAGAGGAATGTGAAATCCAAAGGCGAAGTCAAACAATGAAGCGAAGAGTTAGTTTTTCTGACACTTTTCAAGTTGTGTAAGTTTTGAAAAGTTATAATGTGCAAAAAATTAACTATAATTAAGGCATAATTATTACACAGTTATTATAATTACAAAATTTATTTGATTAGTTTGTATGTATACACTGGCAGAAATTAAAAAAGAAAAACTATGGCTAGTTTTAAAGTAATTATGATGGAATTAAATTTTGTCTCTGTCTTCTGGTGCTAATGCTCTCTGCACGAATGCACTTTCATTATCAGCTGTTCAATCTAAATTGCAAAAACAGGGCTCACAAATCTGGTGTTGAGTTCGGACCGTGTTTCAGGCAGTCGTTAAAGGAAACAGATTTCATTGCACTTGAGGATTCATCAAAAATAATTCTCATTTTTGTAGTTACTTTATCTTCACAAATTACTGCATCACATGCAATAAACTTTCAATAAGTTTCATTTTCAGACATACTGGAATCAACTTTCTTGGATATTATTTCTGAAACTTGCTTCGAAATAATTTCCTTATACTGGTTAAGAAAGGAACAATTTCTCTTAAATTTTTAAAAACTTCCTTCTGCATTGGCAGAATTTTTGGATAAAGATTCACCATTTCCATTGCATGGAAATGCTGAATAACAACTTCATAGCAATCAATTACCATTTTTATAAAGCTTTGGATATTCCCTTTAAACCTCATTATCATTGCATGCAATTCTCAAGCTTTCTAAATCAAATATTTTCTTTATAATCTCCGTTTCTTCTGTGCTTTCATTTCAAACAATAGTCTTCATTACTTTTAACTTTCCAAGGTTTCGATATGATTAAGGCATCCGATCTGTTGACCACGTCTCCAAGTTTTGTTTCCATTCTCACTAAATATCCTGACATTTGTTTTATTACCCCAGTAATGATAGTTTAAAAATGATCTGAACCAATTAATAATGATATTCTTAATTTTTGTGATTCTGATTCATCGGCCGTTTGTATTTCCATCTGTTTACAATAATCACTAATTTTTCTGCCAGGTCCTTTAACTATCACTTCGAAAATACAGGAGTTTCTATAATTTCTAAAATTATTATTATAAATGCTTCTAAAAATTACTTTTGCATGATTATGCATTACTCTTTCTTGTACTCTTGAACCCAAAATAAAAATACTTAATCATTCCTGACTTATCACTTCAAACTTTAATTTATGAGATATATGTTTATCAATGAAATTCTTTCACTATCTGTGTCGAATAAAGATTGAATTTTTACTTCCTGTTTTCCCTTAGTCAAATGGCTATCTGTAAATATATGTTGCAACCCTTTCGACTTGCAAAAGAATAATTTGATGTATCATTTATATGGCTGTCATTTGTATTTATTTTGTTTATTTCATTTCCTGATAAGCCTTTTGTCACTGTTCCCTCCTCATAAATATAATGGCTATGTTTTTTACCATACTTCTTGCACCAGATTTGATTGTGGCAAAATCTAGAAACATGAGACTTTTTTAAACAATTAAAACAATATCCAAGATGTAGTAAACTAGTTTTCTGTTCAGTTATAGATAAATGACAATTATCAATCATATGTTCATTTGTAGAATAAAATATGCATGCATTTTTAATTGCTGCATTTAATGCCACTGCTGTTGATAGATGTTTAGAATTCTCAAATTTCCTGTACTGTGAATTTTTCATTTTATTGTCTTCGTAATAAAAGTGCTTTTTGTGTGTTTCTATTTCTTTTTAAGAAACTAGGGTAATTTTGAAAGATTCCATTTTTCTTGTTTATTAACAGAAAGATTATACTCTAATATATCTCCAGGAATTAATTTTACTAAAATCACAAAAAGCATTTCACAATAATTATTTAGTTCTGCTCTGGCTGTTTCAAGATTTCGAATCTGAATAGTAATTGTGTCATGTAATTGTCTAAGTTCCTTTAAGTTCGAACATAATTTACAGGAGTTAAGCCTGTAGGGTTGCCACACTAACTGGAAAACCGGAAAAAGTCAAGGAATTCAAAAATTGACCAAAAAAGTCAGGGTAAAGTTAGGGAATTTAAATATTTTAGTGAAAATCTGGAAAAGTCTAATTTCATATGACGATCTCCTCCCAAAACTGACTTTTACGCCAACGTTGGAAGCAATCACTTTCTTGGTGAATTATGTATTGTGTGAGCATCCGTCGGGCCGCTGGGATAGAGCCAATTTTTGCAGCTCCGATCAGTTTGTCTTTTGGAAAGGTAAAGCAAGTTTCCACTAACTTTGAGAACCGAGAGACTTGCATGTTGAATGAAAGAAAATGCCTTCCCATTCTCTAAAATAAAATCTGTTTAATCCTAGTGTAGCACATGGGATTTGGTGACATATGATGAGCAGTAAACCGGACATTTATGAGCAGTAAAGGGGTCATTTTGGTGTTGGCAACAATTTTCAAAATTGTTCCAAGGCTGTACCGTATGCTAGGATTTTACCACACAATCTTTTTAATTTTTTTTAAAAATCTTTTTAAGGATGCCTTATGTGTCAATTTGCAGTAAAATAAAAAATAGTAATCAGCCATCTAGGCTAACTATTTAATATAACTATATTCTCTAAAATATTGATTACTGTAATTCAGTTTTTAAGTAATTAATTTTATTTTAATGTTATTTGTATCATTTAATGTAACTTTCTAAATTTATTATTTGTTAATGATAATTTCAAATTTCTGGCAGTTTTCTCTGGCATACCCCTGAAACTAATTCCAGCAGTATGATGACATACCATCACAAAATTTAATGCATATATTTTTTGCTTATGTATGCTTATAAGTAAATATTAAATACCTAAATTGATTTTAAAGTACTATTAAATAGATTTCTTTCATTTAGCTGCAAAATGGCTGGAAAAAAAAATTAATCCAGATTGGGCAGATTTTAATCTCAATCTCCAGTTTAGAAAACAAACTCCTAGCATAGTTATAATAGTAATATTTTGGGGATTATATATATGCATATATGTATAAAAGTTATGTGTAATCGGCAAATTTTTCTGTTTTCAAGTGGTACCATAACTAATTTACCTCTCAGCACAGCCAATGCACACTACACGAATAGACTAGAATTTTCTTTAAACACACCTGAAAAAGTCAGGGAATTTCATTCTCCTATTTGAGTGGCAACTCTGAGCCTAAAAGTTTGTTTACAAGCGAATGTACAATAATTTCAGTTTTACAAAATTTTTCTTTTAATAGTTCAACAGATACATCATAATTTTTTGCGATTATGTCAATCTTTGTATAAATTTTAATGTATAATACTTTAAGAATGATCTTAAATAGTTATGAGCTTTTTATAATTATTTATTCTCATTACTAGCACCTTCAGATTGTGCCCAAAATCTCTGCCAGTTTTCATATTTGTCATCAAAAGGTTCTGTTTTTAATTTCGGTAATTTGATATTAGGATAATTAGTAATTATCCCTTCTTCGGAAGTTCTGCAGGATTCATTGTGGGCATCAATTTTACTTTCGGTTCCATGTTTATGCTTAAAGTACTTTTCTAGTTTCAATTTGGAACTTGTAATCTTTTCACGGTATTTCTGGCTTTTCAGAACATCAGCTTTTAAGCATTTTTAAATCACTTATAAGTGCTTTCTGTGGTACAATCTAGCTGGTTGATCTGATTAGCTTTTTTTAATTGATGTTTTAAATTATCCAATTCATCATAATTAGTGTTTTCCCTCTTTTAATATGTCACTTTTTTGTTTCATAAAGTTTGGGTTAAAGAAGTTTGAATAGTTTTTCTTTTTCCCCTTCTCTAATTCATTAGGTTGTGCTATTTTGAATTACTACTAGTTGTTTCGGTACCATAAAACAAACAGACAGGGTTCAGTCTACAATCATTTTAATAAAATAAAAAGTTATTACATGGTTCTTGATTTCATGACCTACTCAGACAGTAATTGAAGATATTTGAGACATTAATCTTTTATTATCACAATATAATGAAGAACAACTTACACTCTTGATGAACAGACATCTAGCTACATTCTAAAAATCTAACAAATCATAAAACAGTTCTGGGTTGTCAGTGCCATCTCTGAGCTAGAGTTCTCAACAGGAGCAGAAGGTTGTTAGATTAAAAACAGAACATATTTTTCTTTTGTTGTATATTGTATTTAAATCATCAATCTTTGCAGATTTATTTCATTCAAAATGCATTTTATTTATGTGACTGCATATCCAGTTTTTTTAATTATTATTACTTTTTAAAAATTGAAATATTTTTCCCCCATAGGTTTATTATTTCCATTTTATATTCACACTTTGAGCACTCATTTGTTGCTGTCTTTTATCCAAATTATCAATATTTTGCAAATTAATTATAGACAAAATTGATTTAGTGCATATAATACTACACACTGAATTGTTAAAAATTAAGTTGTTCTTAATTATCTTAATTAAGTTGTATTTTTTTTATTTGAAGTATATTAATTTCACATCATTTTGTGGCACTTTTTTTCAATATCTTTTAATCAGTATAAAAGTATTTTTCAAGTACAGCTGTTTTTTTAGCTGAGTTTTTTTATACTAATTTTTGTTATTAGTGATTAGATTTTTCTGTTTTGTTAATAAAAACAGATAATTTAAATTTGAATAACTTCTGCCAATATAATTTCTGTTCTGGTAAAATTTATGTCATAAGTGTAATTTTTGCAATTTTAAGCTTGAAGATCAATTCTGTTTATTTTGTTTTATGTTTTGAATATTTGTTTTTTAATCATACAATTTCTGTATTAACTGCTGTCTACAGATTAAAATAATTATCTTGATTAATTACTAGAAAAGAAATAAAATAATTGTTTCCTTGATTTGAAATAATTCACAGAGCTCCTATGGAAATTTCCTGTTATGTTTTTACCACCAATCCTCGAATTCCATATCACAGATTATGTTCTTACTGCATTAATATAAATATTAACAAGACATAGTGCACAATAAAAATTAAGCTTTATTTAGGAACATCGCGCATACTCCCCGACAGCCTGCCTGTTTCGCTCTGCT